GCAGGGACGGAGCCAGGATTTCAATACTGGGGGTGCCATATAGGGGGTGCCATATAGTAATATACATATGAGTTTATATTAAAAATATGAGTTTATATTAAAAATAGGGGGTGCCATATAGTAATATATATGTATATAAAAAAAAATTAAAATTGTTGGGGGGGCCGTGGCACCCGTAGGTCCCCCCTTGGCTCCGTCCTTGGAAGTCGGCATATTCCCGACTCCTTAATATCATGACGAAGACTTCTTTAAAGATCTTGACTTTTCGACAAGATCATCTCAAAATTTATGTGAGATAATAAACTTTTAAAGATGACATTTTATATATTTTGACTAATTTTACATATTTGAGAAAATGAGAGGGTGATAAATAAATAGTACTATAGAAAAGAGAAAACGCAAAGAAATTGAAGAGAAATATTAGGGGAATGGGCTCCGATTTTGTAGTTTGTTTGTCTGAAATGATTATCAGTTTCTTTATCATATCAGGATATGCGAAAATGAAATGAAGTTATATGTCAGGTATCACTTATGGCTTATTTCAGTTTGAAAGCAGGAGGACTGAAAATCATATCCTAACAACACAATCCAATTTTGGCGCTCTCTCCATGGAGCACCGTCACACTCACACCTCACAACTATAAAGACAGGCAAAGAGACACAAAAACGTGGACACCACGGTACTTTTCTATAGTCTCACTTAGCCTAGCACTCTCAAAATAACACAAACAAAGAAACAAACCTAAAATAAAACCTTTACTTCCTATTGTTAAATTGTTAAATAATAATAATAATAATACACTCTTCACTCTTCACTCTTCTTCTTCTCTCTCTCTGCAATGTAGGTCGCCGGAGAATGGCAAAGTGTCACCAGAACAACGTCGGATCCGTCGCTCTCGACCACCGCCACTCTGCTAAAAATGACACCGCCGGCGGCCATTTCCGCGTGCTCCGCCGCATGATCTTCGACGCCGTCAGCTGCGGCGGCACCTCTCGCTACCGGTACCGCCAGCGCGGCGGAGAGGAAGATGACGGCGGCGACTTCAGCTCGGCGGCGAGTCACGCAGTGAAGGAGCAGAGGTCGGAGAAACTATCGGATCTGCTGCACGTTGCAGAGAGCGAAACGACGGCGGAGGCGCAGAAGAAGGAAGAGGCATTGGCGGAGCTGAAGCATGTGGTGGCGGAGCTGCGCGGCGAAGACTTCACGAAGCGTCGAATCGCCGCGTCGAGAGTGAGGTCACTCGCGAAGGAAGATTCGGAAGCGAGAGCGGATCTCGCAATGCTCGGAGCAATTCCTCCTCTCGTCGGATTGCTCGATTCGGAAGACGTTGATTCTCAAATTGCCTCGCTCTACGCTTTGCTCAACCTCGGAATCGGCAACGATGCGTACGTTATTTGCGTTTTCGTTCAAAATTTCAAATCACACTGCTCTGTTTTCAGTCCTGCTTTACTTATTTGACATAAATAATTTGTTTATTTAATTATCCGTGAAATTTAATGTTAATTGTTACAGGAACAAAGCGGCTATAGTGAAAACCGGCGCTGTGCACAAGATGCTGAAGCTTATTGAATCGCCTAGTGGTTCTAATTCGTCGGTATCTGAAGCGATTGTTGCGAATTTCCTAGGATTGAGTGCTTTGGATTCGAATAAACCGATAATTGGATCCTCCGGTGCAATACCGTTCCTAGTTAGAACCCTAAAGAATTTAGATGATAGTGAAAGCGCTTCGCAATCGCAAGTGAAGCAAGATGCTCTGCGCGCTTTATATAATCTTTCGATCTGTCAGAGCAACGTTTTGGTGGTTTTGGAAACCGATTTGGTTTGGTTTTTAGTGAACGCGATAGGGGACATGGAAGTGAGTGAGAGGTGTCTCTCGATTCTGAGCAATTTGGTGTCGACGCCGGAGGGCAGAAAGGCTATTAGCGGTGTGAGCCATGCGATTCCGATTTTCATTGATGTGTTGAGTTGGACGGATTCGCCAGAGTGCCAAGAGAAGGCGTCGTACGTTTTGATGGTTATGGCGCACAAAGCGTACGGTGACAGGCGGGTGATGATAGAGGCAGGGATTGTGTCCTCGCTGCTTGAGTTGACGCTCGTGGGTTCCACCTTGGCTCAGAAGAGAGCCTCCAGGATATTGGAGTGTTTGAGGGTCGACAAAGGGAAACAGGTTTCTGGCAGCTACGGTGGAAACTTGGGTGTTTCTGCTCCTATTTGTGGATCTGGCTCTTCCTCCAAGGAGGGTGGTTTGGTTGAGGAGGAAGATGGTGTGATGAGTGATGAAAAGAAAGCGGTGAAGCAATTAGTGCAGCAGAGTTTGCAGAACAATATGATGAAAATTGTTAAGAGGGCCAACTTGCGTCAGGATTTTGTTCCATCTGCCCATTTTGCTTCACTCACTTCCAGTTCCACTTCCAAGAGCCTGCCATTTTGAAAAATCAATGCCTGCATCACATTCATTGTAGTTTCCTGCAGTTTTTGTTCTTGTAGCTATTTCCTAGCACAAATAATAATAATAATAATAATAATATAGTAGATTATATATTATATATTTCTAGTTTAATTATCACGCTTTAGCTATAAGGAGAGATTCCGTGTCTTTGCCGTGAGCGATTTCGTATAAATATGAAAGCTCACTGTCAATAAATTGAAAGTGAGACTTTAATAACCATGGCACTAGATGAGTTGTATTGATGTTTAGTTTTCTGATGCTTTCCTATCATTGGCATGAGCAGAAAAGATAGAAAATGTTAGGGTTGCTTTACGAGCATCCCTTCATTTAAAGAGTCGTTTTCTAATCATAACACACTTTTGTCTTCCAGTTGGCCAGACTTTGTTTTGTAGATAGTGTCGGTCATTTTCATCTACCATAGATACAGGGACTATTCACTGCCAATTTCTATTTGAGAATCTTTCCCACGTTCGTTTGCATGCTACATGGGTTCAGTTTTCGGGAATCTCTGGATTAATTAGCAGAGAAGAGACGAATGCGATTTGTTATGCATTTGTAGCAAGATTTTAGGCCGTAAAAGCTATAAATTTTGGTCAGATGAAAAATTCATTAATAACCGTGTATTCGTTTAATGCCACGTGACATGGTTCACTGAATTGGTTTTCTTTTAACAGGCCACAGATCTAAATGTTAAATTGGATCTGTTTGAATGGAAAGATGACCTGTTGCATTTTCTCCGCACTACGTATGCGATACATGTTCGTCGTGGGGTCTCCAGTCATATGTAATGTTATCTTCTGTCCGGTGCTTTAATTAATTTTGACTTCAATGAAAATATTCTAATGTTAATGTAATTCTTGATATAAAAAATTACTAATTGGGTTACCCTTTCGATCACAAATAGGGTCCACTTTTGACTTTCTTGGAATTTTAACCCGACTCTGAGCCTGTGGTTTCAAAAGCGTGCTTCTATTATTTGAGCTTACAGTGTCTTCTAGCGCAAGAAGGTGAGAAATTGCATCCCAGGCAATGATGTGACCACGAATTTCCTGTCATAACTAATGGCTAGTAATTTCGTACTCTCAAATGTTCTAGATAAAGTAATTGCGTGTAATTTTTTTAAAAAAAATCAACGTTACTTCAAAATATTTTCATTTTATTTAAAAATCTATAAAATAATTTAATGTCCTAACAAATTATTTAGATATGTAGTTTATCACGACCGTTATTTTTTTACAAATTGCAACCGTAAGGGAAAGGCTTATTTTAATGATTAAATTTATATTAAATTAAATTTCTTATCAGACCCAAATACGGTTATATTATAAACCCTAAACCTAAATATTCACTATAAATATTGTATTGATAATATGTGCAGGTATCTTTCCCATTAATGCGAAACAAAGATTCAGACTATCACTCTCTTAGAGTTCAGGAAATTAATCACAAAAGAAAAAGAATATCAAAGAAGTATTTCTTACGGAAATAACAATGAAATGAATGACATGCATGGATGAATACTATTTTTTAAAATTAAAATTAAAAATACATAGTACATTTTGACGAAAAATATCATTGCACCATTATTTTGTGTGCGCTAATTAGGTAATTGATTAGAAAATTAATTGTTAAATGAAATTGATTTTAAATAATTAATTTTGTTTAAAATTAATTTGAAAATAAAATGAGTTTTTTTTTTATTCGTCCCTGGAGTATTCACCGCCGACAGTAGTGACTAATCTCCTCACTACGTTGGAGGCACCTCAAAGGGTAGGATAGCTGGCCCCAAGATTTAACGTGGCTGCATACACAAGGCACCCCTGACCTTGCTTAAGCGTGGATCAACCCCTACCGCTGAACCACACGCTTGGGGTTAAAATAAAATGAGTTTGAAGTAAAATGCTATATATTTGATTTTTTTTTCATTTTAAATGCAAATTTGTAATAAAATTCAATATAACATTTTTCATTTAATGCAAAATCTATAAAATCTGATCATCTTAAAATCAACTTTGCATGCAAAATCAAATCCTCGAATGGGACTAAACATGTAAAAACTTCCGTAAAAAAATGTAAAAACTGATATTTCAATGATCATAAATCTAAAATTTACGTTATCATCGCAACTTAATTATATGACTATAATTAATTATATGTACTATAATAATAGTCAACAGACATGAGACGAGAGGTCAAGTTTCCGTGTGCTTCGTACACCTCCATTATTGCATTGCACGTAGTAAAACCGACAGTTAACGACTGGAGACTGTGGAGTGATGATAATCGTATCATAGATATGTTTTTTCTTCAATTTCACTACCATAGTACCATTTTGTTTTTTTAGATTGTCTTCGGGCCAGGATTTAGAATGGATTAGAAAAGAAGATAGAATGACTTGTAGAGAATTAAAAAAAGTTAGATTATTTAGGAGGAGTAATTTGTGAGGATTTAAAAATAAATAAAGATAGCTTTTATAAATAAATAAAAAAATTATAAAGACAGGAAATTTATTAGGAATTTAAGAATAAGACAAAATTTTATACAATAATTACTTTTTTTAGTCTCATTTTATTAAATAATAATTGGATACAATAAAAATATAATTTTAAATTATTAACTTCTCTCTATTTTTTATTTAATTTTACTGCATCAAATAATTACAAATTTTACTTTATTTTTTATTAAATTAATTTTTACCTTTTCTTTTTCTTTCCCTTCGATTCTTCTCCTCTCCCAAACAAAGCTTTACATATCTTTTTATTTTTCAGCAAGATTTATTTTCTTCCTCTTTACTTTCTTTTTCTTCGCGTATCTCTTTTTCATCTCCTCCGATATCCATTTCAAAATGCGTGGACTTTGATATTTTTCCTTTCCTATGCTGTATGAACAAGAAGGTAATTTTTTCATTGTGAAACTATGACCTTCATGGCTAGCATTATATATGCGCCAGTTTTCTAGACCTACTCATTCACAACTCACAAGTGGTTGAGCTACAACATTATGAATATGCATAGGAAAATCGTTTTAATTTTTGCTTTTCTATTGAAGACAAATGTAGTTATGCATACTACTTTATATAACTCAACATGCACTTATGTAGGCATAATGTATCTCTATAACGTGTCACATTGATGGCCAAGAATAAAACGTTAGCATCAAGCTGAAATTCAACTACCATGAACTGAATGAGTAATAGCTTTGCCTCCCTTTCTTTGCTGCGAAGCATTCCACTTTTACCCAACCAAAATAGTGGGTAAACGTACTCATATAAATATGCATTCAAAGAAATAAGAAATTGGTTAGTTACTTTTTTTTTATCAGCAAAATATATTGAAAGAGAAGATAAAGGGTACAAGGATATCTAACCCTTACAAGACATAAATGGTTTGCCACATTGTTTTTGTTGTAAATCCTCTCCCCTATATAATTTTTCCTCTAAATATAAAACAAAATTACAATGCATATAGAAAATACAAAGGAAGAAGAATTTGGCCACAATTCCTCGACTACATTACTATTGCAACCAATTGTACATTTAATACCCACTCCCAATATCAAACATCCTACTATGAATAATAACAACACTCTTTATATTGTTATGATGAATGATAGCAACATTTAATACTCATTTTTTTATTGATTGATATTTATCGTGAGTCTCACGTTTCATTTAATGAATCTTGACTTAGTGATAAGTCTACCAAAAGTTGAGATTTTCAATCAATTATCACTAATGTAAAAATAAGATTTTTTGACGTACTTTCTATGTCGGATGTTATCCACACAACATAAAAGGTGGTGCGATAGCATACTTGTAAAAATATCATAATATTCTACGACGGGTGTTAACTTACATGGCATAGGAAAAAAAACATTTTATGACGAATAAATTGTCATATGCCATAGAATATTTTTTTATTACTTACATTGTGAGTGTGAACCTAGTTTACACTCCATTGTTTCATCTTCTTTTTCATTCAGGTGACAGAGATGATTTCGACAACAAACATTTATACACTTTTGAGATGATTTCTTGCGACACCAATGACCGTTAAGGCGATTTCTAATGAAACCCTTCGTTGTTCTCGTATTCTTCTCCTTTTTGTTCTTGTTCCTGCAACTATTCATTTGTTCTCGTGCTCCTAAGTTCATTCTCGTTCTCTTCTTTTCTTTTTCGTGCATTTCATGTATGGTGTTGGTGTAACTTGATGTTGTTGGTCTAGCGAGAGAGAAAGAATGTGGCAATGAAATGCGATGAAAGAAAAAATGTGTGACAATGAAACGTGAAGAGATGCGACAAGAGAGAAAGAACGCAATGATGAAATATGAAGAGATATGATAACGAAAAAAAATAGTGGTGTAATAATAGAATATGAAGAGACACGATAAAAGAGAAAAGTGCAATAAATGAAAAAATATTTGTTAATATGAAAAATAAGATTTTTTTATGTAGATTATTTTTATAGCCAGCATAGAAAGTCAAAACATTATATGTTGGTTATTTTTGTGACCAACATAAAAAATAAATAAAAAAAATACTTACTATGTTATCGAAATTTATGACAAGTTTAAAATCGACATAAAAAATTGCCTTTACCTATCATAAAAAATGACATACACATTAATGTATAAAGAGAGTGTTAACAAGAAAATGTTAGAGTAAGAATCATTAACTTTTCTCAATTATCATGTATACTACGATCTATAAATATATTAGTTAGACATTAGAGGACCCGTAGTAGGGTACATTGCTATCTTTGCCAACAGCATTAGGCAAGGCTAATATGTGGTTTCAATTCTTTGGGTTAGTTTTAATTATTTTCAATATATAGTTGTTTGTTAATAGAACTAAAATACAAATTTTGTTCACACGCAATTTCATCATTTTTGACATTTTCATATTTGTTTATCATTTTACATTCACATTTTATACTTTGTTTTTCTCTGTTATCTCATTATTTATCATATATATTCATTTTTTTTCTTCCTATTTCTATATATCTTCTTGGAGGGTATAACACACTCTAAAGGAACTAGTATCGAACAACCTTTTTTTAATATTAATTTTTTTATCCATCAATAT